GAAATATTTTATATAAAATCCTTAATTTTTTAAATATACATTTCTACCTATGACATTTTTTATAGTTGCAATAATTGAAATAACGTAACAATGGAGTTGATTTATAATTCTTTTGAATTTTCGAATTAAAAAAATCAAAACTTTACGTTATTTAAAATTCTGAGCTACAAAAGAATATTTTTTTCAATGGTGTAAATTTATATGTAATATTAATTTATACATTATTTATTAAACTCCTAGTCGAAAATTCCACAATCACAATTCCGCAATACGGAAAAATGCCGGAAGAAATTCGATTCTCTCTTTCTGGAGGAGCGAACCACCGTGGTGTGTCTCGTCACGTCTCTTTGTTCCGTCATCCGATCCCGAATACTTTTTCTCCTCTGATATCGGGTATGACCGCGGTTTAGATCCGGAGCTTTTCTCCTCGCCTCTATCTCTGCTGTTAACACGGTCGTCTCTCTTCCTCTCTCTGCCCCCATCCTCCCATTCCTCCTCGTCGGATTCTCTCTCCGGCGCTGGCATCCCGCGGCACTCAACAGGGGCCGCTCGTTTATCTAAATGGCTACTGGGTGGCCCGGTCTCAACCGTGTCCCGTCCCAACAAACCAAAACTAACCCAATCACACGCCTCCCGGCTCTTCGGCGCGTCGAAGAAACGATCCCGAGGAGAACCGAGAACTGATATCCTAAGCTCGGCGATTGTTGTGCCAGCAAAACTGCGTCAGGATTTCTCGGTACTACGGTTAAAGCCTGTCCGTCTGCTCGCCAGCTCGGATCGTCATATTGCCATTGTCGTTATCATCGCCACTTGCCGGGTGAAATGGAGGTAATCCGACCTCGTTGAGAGAATATTTAACGGTCGTTCTCCCCTGACCGCGCGCATACACGATGCCGTGCTACTTTCCCGCTGCTTCCTAGTATCATTATTATGCAACGTTATTACGATGCCACTTCGGTACTGTTTAGCCGAGACTAGCGCAGAGCGGTCGGTCGTCCTCGGCTCATTGATACGCACTTTCGAGCGAGACCAAATTCGCGGATCGCGTTTTGCAGCCAAAATCATTGTATAAGTAATAAGCAATTGTAGAAGATAAAACTTTTTCAAGGAAGCGATAACATTTGTTCTGAAGATTCTTCTTCTCTTTTATTACCGCGAGTATGAAAGAAAGATAGAATTAGAATTAAAATTGCAGTAAATAATAATCGTAATAAAAATGAATTTTAGAAACAGTATGTAGGAGTTGTGAATTATATAGGCTAGGTTTAATACGTATATATAACGCTAAATATATAATATTTTAATCATTGCAATTAAACTTTCTCTCTCTCTCTTTCTCTCACGGTGGCCCGCAAACGATGCATTCGTCGGTGAAAACGGAGTTGGCGGAAAACTTTCGAGCATTTAGATAGCTCGTTGATATCTCGGGAACGGAAACATTCGAAAGTACTCGACGGTGAGAGAGACGACAAGGCCGTTCCGGGCTCTCCTCGGTGCTTCTTTTTACGTGCCGAGTGCGCTCGCTGTATCCGTTATCTACGCCGGAAGGGGAAGCGATTCCCGCGGACCACCCGGTACGTGACCGCTCTTTCTCTCTCTCTCTCTCTCTGCCGCCCGCGCAGGGCGAGATTCGTGGCGTCCCGACGCCGAGCGGCGCGACTCCCTCGTGAATTTTTTTAATCCGCTTCGCCGGTCGCCGTGTCGCGCTGTTTTCTCCCCTCGGCATTGCGCAGAGCAACGTTCGCGTTCGTTTAAAATGCAAACTCGCTCGCGGTCCGCGGGGGCTTTAAAAACAGCCGCTATGCCCGGATTTTCGTTGCGCCCGGTCGGTCGCGTTATATCGCCCCGACGAACTTGGCCCCGCCGAGTCTTATGCGTCTCGTAGGGATTTACGGCGCCGCTGACGCGTTTCTATTCTGGATCCCTTGCCTTGCCTTGTCTCGTCTCGCCTCGTCCCTCATCGAGGAATATCTCCGCGACGCGTTCTTTCTCTACCGTATCGCTCGTTGTCGTTTTTTGCGCTCCTCTTTTTCGACGAGTTATTCGATTAAAGAGAATATATGTTGGAACAGAGTAATTGCGATCGAAATTATTTTGGTTTAGTCTTGACAGGCAGTCGTGACTTGAATCGTAAATTTAAAATCTTGATTTTTTATTTTATTTTTAATCACAAATTTTTAATCAGAATTTTCTTCTTCGGGTTGTATATAGATTTGTAATTTCATCTAGTTTAATGGATTCATCGGAATCGCGTTAAATAAAAGAGTTAAAATTGTTAAATACTAACGCACAGATAGCAGATAATAGAACTTTTATTTCATCTCTAACAATTTTGTTACTGATTTTAACATTGAAAAAAATGTATGTTGAAATTTTCCGATTTATTCTTTAATTTTTTTGTAACGCAAACACTTTTCTACCTTCTCTTTATACGCGCGAGTCTTCTTATGTAGAATATATTAGTTGTGTCGAATATTTCACATCTTGCACGATGTGTTCTCTTTAGAAATTAAAAAAAAATTGCATTCTTTTTCATGAAATTTGTCTTTTTAATATTTCTAGAATTTTATATATCAAGATACGCTCTTATTAATTATTCTTTTTTATGATTGTGCTGTCTTCGCTGTCATTAATACGAAAGCAAGTCTCTATCAAATTAATTTTATATTTTTAAAATATAAAGAACATGTCAGAACCCTAATAAATTTTTTAATATCTTGAAACTAATCAATTTATATGCATTTTTGTTTCGACAAGGCGACAAGTAAGATCTTTTAGCTTTTCTGTTAGCTCGACAAAGCCGATGAAGCCAATTCTATGTTTCTTTAATTGAGGAAAGTATTGATTGATTCAATAGGCATTAATACATTAGATGAAATTTAACGTAAATCATTAAAGTCGATATACATCATAAGCAAGAGATGCTTAGCTTGACCGTGTAACGCGAAGCAGTACTGAGGGCAGCTCGGATAAAAGGCTAAATTTATCCCTATAGTCCTTTGAGCCCCTTTGGGCGTCTGTCGAGTGCGTGCACGCACTTCCGCGTTTCAACCCTCTGATGCACTCAGTGTTCATCGTATCTGAGTATATATATGCCTATGAATGTTATATTTTATATATATAATAATTTTAATAATTTTGAAATTATTAATTTAAAATAAATTAATGTTGTAATATAAAAATCAATACCAAGATTTTTTATTATTCAAGATATAAAATTAATTTTAATGAGCATCTCATGACGACAGATGTTACGAATAAATTTAAATAATAAGAGAGCTTAGAAATTCGAACTTTTGTGAAAGAGATAGACGATTTAAAAATTATATCTTAGAATGATGTTTCTCTCTCTTTCTCTCATTTCTATTCGATGTACTTATGTATTGCATGATGATGTGCGTCAGAATTGGCGAAATATTGCAATTAGACTAGACATATATTGGCCAATAAGACGGTTTCCGGTCTGTTCAACTCTACCTATGACTTTTCCAGTACATGCATATATGTGTTCGTAACATATAATCAAGATAACTTTACTGTCAACTAATTTTTGCTAGTCCATTTCCAATCTGTGTTTTACACTCCTTCATTTATCAAAGTATAAACTTCAGAGCAATTAATAAATTCCTCTTCCGTAATCCAAGATAAATAAGGAATTATATTATCATATCTATGATGACGTACATATTTGATACTTTAAACGATAAATTATTAATTCGTACAAACGCAATTTTTTTTCTCGAAAGACCGTCCGCTTTGCGAATATGATCAGCTACGCGTCGCTATTGTTATCCCGCTTGACCACAGCCACTTAGCCCGAGCACTAAACTCCACGAGTTCAACTTTACCCTTCAACAGGTGTTTAGGGAAATACAATAATGTCGCGCATGCGCGCCGAACTTCTTGAGGTCGCAAAGTTCGCCGGAACAATCTGACCGCGACCATGCCCGCGGGCGATGCCGGTACTTAGGACGAGATTAATTAAGATTACGCGGGACGCCGCGGTTCTCAACTCGTCTGGATAACCTTACATGAACAAGTGAATTTCGCGCGGTTAATGAGAAATTTCGTTAATGCGTTCGAGATGCGGAACGATAAGGCTTAATTTGAAGGATGTAATGTGAAATAAATTCTAAGATTTTACAATCTCATTTAATTGAAAAAAATTCTAGTGATACATGCATTTTCTTTTTCGTAATAATTATTTTTATATATATTAAATATATATTTAATAGTATTCCGATATTATATTTTTATCAATCCTTTATAAACAAAAATAAAGATAAATTTTTCGAGAAAAATTTTACTCTGCGATTGCAATTGCGTAAATATAAAAATCCATTTTTACAAAATATTGGTGATGTAAGAAAAATATTAGGCATAGCAACTTAATATATATTTTTTGCAGTTTGAGAAAAATTGCAAACATATAAAATTAAAAAGTATAAGTAGTAATTTTTTATATTATATTTAACAGAATCTACCTTATCGATAGCAGATTAGTACATCTTGGAGAACTCTAACATGGCATTAGTCGATAAAGTAGAATCAGAATCAGCGTCGGTAACGACTGAAAACTAAACACGTTTCTCGACTGGCAAAATTGAAGGAACACGAGTTGTGCTTCAGATGCTAGGTGGCGTTTGAATATAGTATAGCTTGTAAATAAGGAACTTTTAGTGAGAGAGCTTGTAAAAAAAGATATATACGTTTACAAAATTTAACTTTATATAAATTGTCGTTTCGACCATATGGTTGTGGTCCTTATCAAGTATATACTGGAAAAGATTTATAAATAAATTAAATAATTAATTTACGGTTTGTATAATATAACAAGCACAACGAATTAAAGTATGAACAATTTTACCGATGTAATAATAATCAGGAGACAGGCGACAGGAGACATTATTTTATAATTTTATTATATGTTATCTATATACATTTATTATTGACATAATAATTAGATTATGTAAAATTTTTTTATTTTATTATGTTCACAGGCATTAAATGGTGCCGAGGGCACAGTTCCACCTGGACGAGTGTACAAGAAGGTCGCGATTGTAGAGAACTTCTTCGACATTATCCACGCCGTTCACGTTGATCTCGAAGGACGTCCTGGGAAGCATGCCGGTCAGAAACGCACTTATAGAACGGTAAGAAAATTTCTTTTAGTTTCAAAAAATTTATATTTATCTTTGAAAATATCTCTCATTGCGAAAAGACATACATTTAATATAAAAATACGCCCATCTCTTGTTAGCTTAGAAATATAAATTTTTAAAATGTCAAATGTATGCATAAATAATAGATTAATGTATGTGAAAAAATGCACGAGTTTGACATTAAAAATACAACGTTCAATATTCATTTTTGCGCATAAATTGTGTATTTCAGTTTGATCCAACATGTGTTAGATTCGGCGCTAATCGAAGCATCCGCCGATCCGCAAACTATTGAATTCTGAATTCGAGTGCTATCGGCAGCAGAGCGCGATGAATTCTTGCATGGTTACTCGCGACACGCGATATTTACCGTTCCCGAAGGAAGGCATCGAGGCGTTCAAGCGTCGAACACTCGATACCACACGTCATCTCACATGTTCCGGCGCGCATTCGCGTAAACCTCTCTTTGGGATATATCATATCTGTACTTTTGCTCTATCCTCCTTTTTCTACTTCGCATCCACGGCACGTGATCTCTCTCTATCCTTCAACGTCGGCCCCTGCGACCAATCTCCCACTCTTCGATCTTCCATCCTCTCTCTTCTCTTCTCTCTCGCTCTCTTTCTCTCTCTTTCTCGCACGCCGCGATCTGCTTGTGATTCAAAACCTCAGGACACTTGTTGCATTGCCTGCTTACTCACACACTCGAGCGTTTGCGCGACGGTGGAACTGTTTTACGTTCAAGTCGGTGTTAGGCGGCGGGATTCATCGGCTCCAGAGGAGTCCGCGTTATGTCACGGCTCGCGTTGCGCAACTCGATACCACCGCTATTGCTGCTGCGTCGAGAGTGTATTTCGAGTTGGGCTGTTATTACGAAGTAAGAGGGTTGCGAGTTGACCGATCTGTACATACTGCCGTAGTTCACCTTTGACAGTTCGCGTCCTTAAAGCGCGTCCGTCCGGCATGTTACGTATTACGATGCGTGCGCGCGAGTTGTCACTCAAAGTTGGAAATCAATCCTTTCGTAATATCGCGAGAATAACGCGTAAGGCTGCCAAACTTATTGGAATTTCGCTTAAAATGTTTAATCACATTCGAGATTCATTTGTATCCGTTTATTTATTATGAAGTCAAATTTTCATCTAAAAGTAGAATAAGGGATGAAAAAGATGAAGAAAGAATACTTAAATTTTGAATTTACAATTATATATAGTCTACAATAATTTATCATTGTTTTATATCTGAATGTATTTTTCGATAAAAAATTGATATTTGTTGGGTAAAAGTAGTCATGATTTTTTTCAATAACATACAATATACTATTGTTAACATTTTGTGGAAATATATTACGTTATTGCAGGCATTTATCTCTTTCCGTTGCGATTACCTTGATACAACAAACTTTTGAAATGTAAATCGAAGTATCGATCAACTGGATAAGTTGTGTCATATCAATCTAAAAGTATGTTGTCTCGATTTCTCTGCTTTTCTCTTATTTGACTTTTTCTTCTTTTTTTCATTCCACGACCTCGTCATGAAGTCTCGGATAAATCTTATCGAATTACCACCCCTTTGGAATCGTGCAGTTACACGTGCACGTACACATCAACCTCCGTCCGTTTTCTCGATTCTCCGGCGGAGGCTGCCATCCTCCGTTGATTAAGTTATGCCACCCCCTCCATCTCCTTAGAGAGAAACGTTTCCTATTAAGAGGCGGAGAACATCCCTCCGGCTGAACGCCTCCTCTCGCAAAAGACATCAAAAAGTTCCTTTATACCGACTTGTGAATTTTCCCCGGTGGGCGTCGCGCGGAAAACGACGCCACGTGACGACGATACGCGGAGATGAGAGCGGGAAAGGCCATTCGCGTGCACATTAATACGTCAATTGACAATATTGCAATTGCGTATTATCGCGCGAACGTGGGTGCGATGCTTTGGTCACATGGAATTGGTTAATTGCCTGACCGATGGTATTTGAATGTAACAATGTCGCTAAGCAATGTACGAGAAATTAGACACAGAGAACGGCAATCTGGTCAATGCGTGCCCTCTCGATAGATCTCGCCGAATCTTTGTTACACTTTCAGTATCATTTAACGACGTATTAAACAATTACTTATTATACAATTCCACACAATAAGGTTTCTCTAGAACGTCACCTGTAATTACATTTTAAAATTCTTTGCATAAAATTATTTCTCCGCAAGAGTGTTTTTTACTTATTTATTTTATTTATTTAATTTTTATTTATACATTTAATTTTTTAAATTTTGTTTTTACTTTCATATAACGAGTCTTTCTATATACCATGTTAAGTAAAAAAATTAAAATAATAGTATGATATTTTGTTAAAATTAATGTATTAAAAGATATGGATTATATAAACGAGGGCCGAATATTTTTCAAAGTTTGAACCGTTCTAAAGATTGCGATCTTCTTTCTCTCTCTGTTACAGATTACAGAGACGTATGCATTCCTACCCCGAGAAGCGGTAACGCGATTTCTGCTGGGCTGCACGGAATGCCAACGTCGTCCGCGGACGCCTAGTCCGACGAACTTATCCAATCAGTCGCAATCCACGGCTACGACGTTGGCGTCGACGCCAACTCCGCTGAGCCCGAATCGCGGTGCTAGCAACGCCGCTCTCGCGACCTCGTCGTTATCGTCGTCCTCGACGGTGCAGAGTAATTCCAAGTCGCGCGATAGCAGTCACCACGCACCGTCAGAGGCGAAGAATTTGCACAATTATAGGCACCAGAAGCAGCACAAGAACAGCAGCGTCGCTGCAACGGCGGATAAACTCGAAAAGGACAAAGACGAGAAGTACAATCCGTTGAGTATCACGAACCTGCTGAAGAAAGAACCAGTGAACGGTGGCTTTCTCGCCAACTCGGACGCTCTACCGGAATCGAGAAGGACGCCGGAATCGGACCGAGCGAGTTCGAGGAGCTCAGCATCGTCGAAGAGGAAGCGGATGTTGCCGGAGGGACGTACGCCCTCGCCTCAACCCAGCCAGCCGTTGCCGAGGCCCTGGAGCCCCGGGCTGGATCCCAAGAACACGCCCATCGACTATAGCCTCCCCATCACGACCTCGTACTTAAAGCATCAGCAAAGGCTACTCCAGGCGGAGAAGAGCAAGGCCGCCGCTAACGCAGGAAGGGAGACGTTTGAGATATCGGAGCCCAAGATCGTTGTGACGCCGCTTGTCGAGCAAACGGAAAGCGCCGAGAAGGAGAGATACTCGCCGGCCACCAGTTTGATCGACACAAACCTCAATCTACTAGCGACTATTCAGAACCTGCATTGCCAAGTGATGCTGGCGCTCACCGAGCGACTGAGACCATCGATCGCGAGTCCTTTAGTTCTGCCATCGACGCCGACAAATGCTCTCGCGGGCTCGATGATGATGGCCACGGAAGTGTCAGTCCAAACAGGAGAGAATCATTTGTAAACTGATTGGCGCGAAGAAGACAGGATTGTTGACAGATGTGAATTGGTTTAAGGGCATTCCTGAAAGATGAACGAAGACTACCAAACTATAATCGAGATGAAAAATTGATATTTTTGCGACCAGGACTATTTCGCGTCGATAATGCCGATTGCTTGAACGTAATCTCGTCAATTATTCATTTCAGATGAGTGTTCCTCGATAAAAAGATCAACTCGTTTATTAAAATCAGACAATGGACATCTGATTTCGCACAAAGGTATTAAAATTTAATTTATTTGTACTTATATCGCAATCGAACGGTTATAAGATTTTTCGTACAAAACGTCGATCACAGATCTCCCTTCATCTTTAATTCGTTCTTAAATACGTATCCGATTGATGCGCGGTTGCGAGGGCGATTCGCCCTTGTCTCGTCTTCCGTCAGCGAAACGATAGATGGACGCAATTACATATTGAACCGGAAGGGATCGATTATTGTTGTCGCGCTCGTGTCACACATTTCATCCGATCGAGCCGGTTGCTTGCTTGCGTCCGACGCCAGTCGATGCCCGATATAGACGATGGACCAAGCGAGCGGGATAATTCCCGAGTCTGTCGAAATACGGGTCGATGTGTCAGGGATTCGCGCGCCGCCTCCTCTATGTCCGATATTTAGGGATCCGTTACGCGGAGAGCAGATCTCGCGATATTTCGCCGCCGGACTCGACTCCGATCGATCCATCCAGGCGAGGCAAAAGCAGCAGTCCGCGCGGCGACATCGCGAAGGTCCTGAATATTCAACGAACCAACGAGATAGAGAAGAGAGAGAGACGGAGAAAGAATGAGAAGGAGATCCAATTTCTCGTTTTCGGGTGTCATCCGATGAATTCGACATCCGGCGTCGTTGTCGACCTGACGAATTGTCTTTCATATTTCGCGGATTCGATCGCGCGCGACGAATCGCTCTAATTATAACGTGTCCTAGAATGGACGAATAATACCCTCCAGCTGAATAATGAATTCTTTTTGAATTTAGCATGTACTTTTCCTGGCTTTAATAATTTTTGAGTTAAAAACCGTAAAGATAAATTACATAAATTAGAGCGGTAAATAAATAATGAAATATTATCCGTCAGTATTGCCAGGTAAACTTTTTAATAGAATTTTATTTAAAATTCAGTCACAGATAGGCGTTGATATTCGAAAGATTAAAATTTTTCTCGGGCAGCGTTTGTCCGTTAAAGAATAAAGACATGTGTCTCATACTTTTGTCTGATATAAAGTTACAATCTCGAGCAGTCTAGATTAATGCGCGATCGGACAACATCTTATTGATGCGAGAAGCGCTGACTGCATCTGATGTCTCAATCTGATGTCTTATCTTGTAATCGTAATAATGTTATCATGTAATTACATACAACGGAAATACACCAAATCGATCGGGGCTGAGCAAAATTGGCTCGTTTCGTTTAGTTTCGTTTTGCCAAATCGGTCAACCCGATATTATCGTCAGTTTCCTTTACATTGTATTAATTATCGTATTATTGACACGATCGATTTGGCGATATTTAATGATATCACGGCGCGACCACGTAATTGAACATATTATTTCAGGCAAAGTTTAGAAATAATTATAATCGTGAGTGTTGCCATTATATCAATATATAATATTTTTTTAGTTTTTTATAAACAAAACATTGTTTAATTTTACTTCAAAATGGGCTTTAATCTTTAAATATTTCGACTTTATTTTGTTCCTTCTAAATGTGCGCGATATTAATTAAGGTAGTTAAGATTTATTTGGATAAAAAAAATATATGTAAGCGAATAAGAAGATTTTTTCGTTTAATTTATGAACATACACAAGTAACTGATTTAGATGCTTTTATAAAATAATTTGTTGACGGCAGCAATCGCCGGACTCGATATTGATTGTATACCAAAGGCAGTATCACTTGGAGAGCGATCTGCGTCTTCATAGAATTACAGGTAAGATGAATCGACTGCAATTATAAAGCGATTGTTTCTCGCATCGAGACGATTCTCGGGCAGCGAGACCCACTTCGTATCTGACTGTGTACGTAGCCTAGCCTCGTGTACGATATTACTCGAAGTAGCTGTACGATATAGCGTGTCGTTAGCCGGTGGTAAAAAGACGTGCACCGCTAACACGATAGACCTTAAAGTGTGCTTGCACAAAAAAAATGTTTACTAGAAGTTCGATAATCGTCGTGAAAGTAGACGAGGGTTAAGAACCCTCGAGAGTGTCGTCGGATATACATACATATACATATATACATATACACCTATATATGTATATATTATTTTGTACATAATTGTTGTATTATAGTGCGTGCAACCGAACAAAATACGCGATTATGTTAATTGATGGCGATCATTCTTTTATATCACGGCATTTTTTTACATGCATACACATGTATAATGCGTTATCATTATTGTAATGATCATAGATAATTACTATTTTTACTGCTATCTTATTACTCATATTATTATTAATTATTTTTATTATGTAAGTATTATATATATATATTATATTGTATTATTATTGTGTATTTAAATTGCGCGCGAGAGCCAAACGAGAAAATATATAAAATTGAAATACTTGAGAATTTTTTGTATACATACGTAATTTGCATCGTATCCAAGAGAGAAGATTCTTCCCTTTCTTCTTCCGATGTATTTCAATTTTTACAATCCCTAGCTTGTTTACTTTACTATCTTATTAGTATTATCACATAAAATTGATTCACTGTGTTTTAGAAGAAACTATACTATCGACAATAGTTCCCCTTTCTCCCATAATATTGCGTTATATCACGGTAACAAATTGTGTGCACTCGAGACGCATCTTATATAGAATAGTGTGAATATATACCATCTGGAATTTATAAAAAAAACTACAGGATGCTCTCGAATATGTTGATTCCTACGCGTAAATTACATTATAAATTACGCAATCGATATATTCGAAATACTCGAAAAAGTTTGATCGATTGATGATTCCATCGAGAAGCAACGGTCGATCCTGTGCATGAACAAGAAACGAAATTGACACCTCTTCCCTCTTCCCTTTCCAACTCTCTCGGTAGATAGAAGCAGTCGCTTTGGCGTCTGACGTACTTTAATATCGCGAACAAAGAGGACGAAATGATCGTGTTGCCTTTAACAAAGGAGAGAAGAGGTGGCGTCCCGACGACTCACCTGCTCTCTCGCTGTGAAGCGAGGATCGTTTCTCGGAGAGGAGGTAGGTACCATAGGTAATGCAGTCTTTACTCATCCGGCTGTTGCCAACGTTGTAGCGACCTCGTTCCATCAACTTCTACGTTTCCCCTAGCTAGCTATCTCCTTCGTTTCCTCTTTCCTTTCTCTCCGCTTACTCCCTCCTTTCTCTTTCTCTCTTGCTCAGCCCTCAGGAAAACTCGACTTCCTCCCCCCGGTTCCAATAAGGCTGCCGCCTCCCACCTCCTAGTCTAGCTGGTGCTCTCCCTCTCTGCTTTTCACCCTCTGCTTCCCTCACGTGTTCACTCTACCGTTTTCCTTTTCTTCTCTCTCTCTCTCTCTCTCACTCGCGCGCTCCCTCAATCCTCAACCCTCCGGCGGCAAACCCTAAAGCTCCGCTTCCACTGGAGAGCCAGGCCTCTCTTGCGCTCTCTTCGCCACGGCATTGTTGCTATCGATTCGGACTTGGAAACGTGTTTTTCTTCGGATATCTCGTGGCTACCGTCGGTTACGACCACCTATCCGGTCGACCGGATAACGAGAATTCTAGAAAGGCAGTGTATATGTGTCCGACCCTCGTTCACCCTTTTTCACGTCTCTTTCTCTGTCTCTCTGAGTTTCTCCGCGTTACTACCTCCGCTCCGTTATATTTCCCGCCTCGTGTCTTTTGCGTTCACGATAAATAGTTTGCTTTTCACGCGATGTTCATGCGTTTGTTCCTCTCGTTTCTATCTATACTTTGTTGCTTGCCCTAAAATCCATTCATCCAATTTCCATTGTATTGAAAAAATTAATGCATTTGGTTTAATTAAAGATTTTTTTTTAAATTTCCATTTTTTTCCTTTCAAAATTTGCTTCTCGCGTCTTATTAGATTATATTCATTTCTAATACTGTAATTATTAAATTACAATCTCGCATAATATATACATATAACATATATGAAAAGAGTATTATATTATATGATTATATTATTTCGAGTTGCCGTAAATTGTTTTTCGTCGTACTGCAAATTGCTCGTCTTATTTTATCGATTTTCAGTTATTTTGCTCCCAATGTCCGACCTTCTATATCAGGTTGCGAATCGCGATCTGACAACTCGATGCAGATAAGTCGCCGGTAGAGTTTGACGCGATGAGAAACTCCCATTAGACTCGATGGCCGTAAGCTTCGTTCCCTCAGAGATAGACTCGAACCACTTTCGTCGTCTTTGTTACGGCGAGATGTTCGCCGGCTTGGCTTCGATTGTTTCGCAAAGACCATTGAGGAACCCGTGCCACTTTACGAAGCTGACACGTCGCTGCAAATAGACAACCAGGACGCCCGGCGGCGAAGTAAGGAAATCGCACGAGAGATTTCAACGAACGTTATGATATTAAGCTGCACGTCCTAAATTCTAACTGCATTAGCGTGCGATATTTCATCAGATATTTGATACTCGGACACACTTTTACGTTCATTAAAATTTCTTTGTTTTGTTCTCAAAAGGATTCAAATTTATAATAAATAGAAAATAATTTACAATAAATAGGAAAAAAGTGTGCGATGTATATTGAAATTTTGCATCTACTACAAGATTTATTTTACACTTAGAAACTACGTATTTTTATTCAACTGTCTTTTTCTATCTGTATAAAAGCTTCTGCCGAAACACATTTGTATATTATTCAAAATTGCGTATTAGTTTATTCTTATGAATTTTATCGATTAAAGATGGACTATAGGTTCGTCGCTTCGGATTGAGATCGAGCGACGTCGAAGCGCGTCGGAGATTTCAACGATCGGTCATACTTTCGGTGCGCACGTACGTGCAATCCGTCGATGCGTCGCGAAAGAGAACACGCCATTGTCTCGCAATACACTCGCCGTACGTCGCATCCCCGTAACTCTCGTTTTCGATGGACCAGGGTCGGCCGATTGAGGCATTCCCCGCGCGGTCCCTTGCGGCCCGCAGTGGTGATATTACCGGGGGCTTAACTCGATCGAACGGCGATTTAACATTTCACCCTCGCTGGCTTGCGCGATGTATGTGACGTCCATTGTCCTTCAGGGATTCCGATAAAAAAAAGAGGAAAAAGGTTTCCATAGACGGCGAGAGGCGGAAGAGTTTTGCGTGCGACGCGATTTCAAATCGATTGTGCATATGAAAAGATAAGTGATTATTGCATCGCGATGTTCTGTGATGCATTAACAAATATCGATGGTATTCGCGGTGATCGCAATGCATTGGAAACAACCTCTTTCCTTCTCTTTGAATGCGGAAAACCGATTAGTTGAAACGATGACTCCTTCGTACTTCAAAGATGCGAGGTATAATTGTAAGAGTGATTTTTTTCAATTAAAATTGATGTTATGCAATGCCAATCGTTTAAAATAATATCGCGTCTGTATTGGCAACAGATGATTCGAAAACGATGTCTTATTTTTCTGAAATACTTCAAAGGAGGAGCAGGAAATGAGCACGCGGCAATTGACGTTTCGCAGTTTTGGCCATTCCGCGCCTCAGAATATCGCCATGGTGTTTTCGAGAATTTGCGAAGAACATCTCGAGGATCGTCGATATCGATTGCAGCTGCGTCGAACAAACAGAACTATATTGTACGGTCATTTGCGAGCTTAGACTCGAGCTTTCGCATTACGCTTTTCCACTGCGACTTTAGCACGCGATAACTTAACGAACGCTGACCGAAATTCAAGCGAATCTACTAAAACTTTCCGCGTTACAACTCAATAACGAAGTTTCAGTTATGATATAACGGTAAAAATGCGCGATTCAGATTAAATCAGTCTTTTCGTAATTCAAGAAATTTTTTACAAGGAATATGAAATATAATAGTTTAACATATACCAGGATATACCTCCCTCATGTCTCATAAAAGCGTATAATTTAATGATATTACACAGAGAATTAGCGATATAATTATTTATAATCGAAATAATTAAAAATACCTATTTTCTCATCATTTCAGGAATATCATTGCAATGCACGCGTTGAATACATATAGAATAAATCTATATGAGGCACGATCTTTGACGAGGCCCGAAATTCGGTAAAATCGCTGTGCGCCCCGCAGTCGCAAGGGTGAAAATGGGGAGAAGACTCGGATGGCTCGTCAGCGCCATCGTCGGCTATTGCAATTCGTATCGCGAGTCGTGCGGGAAGATCTCTTATTTTCTCGTTGTATCCGACGAAACCCACCTATATCCCGGAGCGTCTACCCTCATTCCGAGCCGCCATCCCGTCGTGCCCTCGTAGCAGCAGTAGCAGCAGCAGCAGCAGCAAGTCCTCCCCGTGTTCTCCCGACGTCCGACTGCGGCTCTATCCTCTACGGAGGAGGAGGAGGATACCATGCCGAGCTCTAGAATGTAAGGGATGATTTTGGAGATAGCTCGAGGGTCGCTCCGGTACGTAGGAGTTGTAGGTTGGTGGACGAAGTGGCGCGCGGGGGCGGGAATGGGTCGGGTCGAGACGAGTGGTGTAGGAGAGAGCTGCCACGGTTAGAGAACGGAGAGAAGGTAGAGGACGAGGGTGAGAAAGGGAGAGGTCGGAGGATACCGGGGAGTATGAAGGGTGTGGGTTTGCGAAACGGGGGCTGCGATTGGGATGCCTCGCGCGCGCGGAACAGGAGGGGACGGGTGGTTGAAGCTCGGAGGAGAGCGCGGGACGCGACGGGGGATGGAGGTGAGTCTGTGGAGTCTCTCAGGAGGGTGAGTTTGGCGCCGAGGTGTCGGCCTTTCTCTCCAGTGCTGCATGTGTATGGGCCCTCTGTATGTGTGGATTTCTGTGTGCCGTCTCTCTCTCGCGCGCGCGGAAAAGCTCATAGTTCTGCGGTACTCTGGCTTGTTTAACTTTAAATAAATAATTTGCAAGAGTGTACGTGTGTGTACTGAGCGCACCGACGTGACGTTGCGTTACGCAACGACATTGATCTCGGTGATCGCTTGCGGTTACCGTAATTGGCATTCGCGAGCGACAATGAGCAGGCCGATAGCGAGCGATATTGACCGGGAACCAATGAACGCGATGTAGGTTATGGGATATAGCGGACAGACGTGCACATGTCGAGCGCGAGGGTAGATACAGTTGGCGGGGAAGTTTATTGGGATTTAAGGAGATCAAATCGGGAAACCTGTTTCGTATCTTTCGATCTTTTAGATTTGCGGCTTTGTTTTAACAGGATGCGCGAATGTAAACATGCGCATTCGATGCGCGATTTAAATCGTAACGTCGTAAATAATCAACTATCTATTAA